TTAGTGATAGGGTGAGGAGCTCCATCATCTGGGGGAGCTCGGAGTAGAGCTGCTGCTCCTTCGCATCAAAAGGGGTCACTTGAGGTGGTTCAGACTTCTGATTAGGATGCCTCCCTTTGGAGGTTTTCTGGCCACATCCCAAAGATAAAAATCCCCAGGAAAGACCCAGAACTCACTGGAGGGATTGTGTATCTTCTCTAGCCTGGGAACATCTCGGGGTTCCCTAGGAGAAGCCGGAGAGCGTCAATGTGGAGAGGGATGTCTGGGTTTCTCTCCTGGACCCGCCAGGACCAAACTATTGACATGTGGTAGAAGATGGCAGTGGAGAAGTTTGGACTAGCCATCAGCTCACCAATCCAGTCAAAATAAATTCTGTTTCTCCAAACTGAAGTTGTTCATAGAAAGGAAGATTAGCAGCTTGTAACATTTCCACAGAACCCCACTAAAAAAATCTAAGCTATTCCTTTAAGAAGATAAGATGCTTAGCATTAAACTAAGCAGGGCAGACCAGATGACAAAACACCTCATCTCACAAGCTAAATAGTCTTGTTCACGAGTTATGATGAAAGATTAAAATTCCATCTTGAAAACGTGGCCTGGTGATGTAGAGTCATGCTGTGGCTTTTGCTGTAATTCAGAAAAGCCATTATGATAATTTATTCCTGGAGGAAATACGCAGCGTGCTTCGAGGTAGCAGAATGGCTCCAGGGCAGTGAAAATACTTTATAACAGCCAATTTAGACCCATAAGACTCATGGAGAAATAACGCTGTCAGAAACGGATACATTTTCTTCTCGTAGTGCACCATTTCATTTGCACCATGCTAATGAGTTTTCGCCTTCAGTTGCCTGATGATGTACTTTACCTTATCTGCTCGGAAGAAAATTGAAAGCTGCTTTACTTTAATTTTACTTTCCATTTTCCAGGTGGCACAGCTACCTCTGAACCTTTCTCAAGGCAGCTGGCAGCACATTTGTGTGAGTTGGACCCAAAGGGGGGGAGCGTGGCAGGCCTACCAAGGGGGAAAGCTGAAAGGTGAGGGCAACGGCCTTGCTGCTGGGCATCACATCAGACCTGGAGGAATGCTCGTGCTAGGACAGGAGCAGGTGAGTCAATATACATGACTTTGAAAGACTTAGTGGCTGAATGAATGAACAAGTTCTATTCATGACTGCGCAATAAATAAAGGCAGAAGCATCAGTTGAAGTAAGTCAGTCAGTCCTTAAGCTGTAATGATAGTAACTTAAAAAAAACAGAACCTCTCCTAAATGATTGCTGGCTTGCATTCAAATAAGTCCAGATTGATGAAACTTTAACGATAAATTTCCAGAAGTTCAGTGTTTTGCCTAAAGCAATAAATCAGCTAAATAAAATGAGTACAACTGTTTCAATTTCTGAATAATCCAACCAGTCAATTCCCCTGTAGGATTCCCTGGGTGGAGGTTTTGACTCAACCCAGGCTATGGTTGGAGAACTGTCTCAGGTGGGCCTTTGGGATAGAGTTCTGTCGTCAACCCAGGTTGTCAGCTTGGCTCGATGCGGCAGAGTAACCCAGGGCATCGTAGTCCCTTGGACCGAGAACGGGATTGGAGCTTACGGCGGAGCAACCAAAGACCCAGGGGAGCCATGTAGTAAACATAAGAGCCCCCAGTGACTTTTTGGGAAGATTTCATCTGGCCAGTACCTCTGCTGATCGAGGAGGTTATAAACACACACAAAAAGCATTGCAAGGAGTGGGGCAGCGTGTGAAAACATTCAAAACAGAAATGATGGTTCATACCAACATGATATAAGTAGAGGCTGTGCAATAACTTCATATTTTTAATAAACTTGCCAACACTTTTATGAAGGTCCATGGGAGAATTGCAACACAAGATGTAATTTATTCAAAAGTAGAGTTGGAATGTTGCATAATGTCATGTTTACAGTAAAATAAGCTTGTAATGAAGTGTTTTTCTAATTCTAGCCAAACTGTCTATTAATATTGTTGGTTGTTTCCTCTTCCCTGCAAACCTTCTTAAAGACTTATTAAGGAAATTATCTACTATAAAATGGAGACTACAAGCCAAAAATTTAAAAATACAGTATATTTCAATTTTTAACAGGATTCTTTGGAGTTATTATGAGTAATGGGTACGTTTCCTGCAGCAGAGAGCAGTCGGAGTAATCTTAGTCTGGAGAATGGCTAATTAGCATTAGCTTGGAAGAATAAAGTTAATGGCAAAAAAAGTAAGAGTGGATTTAGGTCATCAAAATGAACCTAAACCTTGATCGTAGTGTGATGGACAGAATGACACATGAGGTCAGGCAAGACAAAGATGATAGATGACATTTGGATTTGTTGTTAGAGTAGGTAGCAGGTGGAAGAGAGTCTGAAGAGGCAGAGGCATCCTACTAAAAATAGCAGCCCAAAGAAGATAATAACTCAAACTTTAAATTATCTATTGTGCTTTATACAGACTTTATTTTATAATCCTTTACAATGCATCACTTGTGCATCAGCTGATTATTCACATAAATGCCTATACGTATTTATACTGAAGACTGGCTGTTGTGATGGACCTGCAACCTGTCCAGGGTGTACTCTGCCTCTCCCATAGTGACTGCTGGACAGGGGCACCAGCTCCCCTGTGACTCAAAAAATAGAAGTGGTTAAAAAACATGTCTAAAATAAAAAAATAAAACAACAACTGGACTTCTAACTGTCCCAGTCCCATTAACTGGACTTCTATCCTGAGTCTGAAGACATTTCGCTGCCCATCCGGGAGTTTTATCAATTGAAAAATATCTGTAGTTTGTGGCGTTCCAAGCTTTATAGAATTACATGACAGGTCTGGTTGTGTTCTTAGATTCAGCTGCAGATTAGACAGGAACTACTCGCCACGCACTGTGGAGGCTCATTAGGTTCTTTGTCTACCTGGCTCACGAGAGAGAAGTTTTGGTCACATGCATGAAGGTATGAGTTACTAATTACTTTGTACTAATAGCTCTAATTCAGAGCTGGCCTCAGAATAGAAGTCCAGTTGTTTTGTTCTTAAACTTTTTTTTGGGGGGGGGGGGGGCTGATCATGTCCTGGATACTGAGAATCTTCACCAGCTTCAAATATATGGAGTATTGGATGAACAAAGACTAGCTATGGCTAGCTGTTAGCTTGACTGATCCATGAGAAATCCTCTATTGTTTGTCAAATTAAAGCCCCGTACTCTAGGTTTTTTGTTGTTGTTTTTTTTAATGCTTTCCGAAACAGAGAATTTTGAAAACTTTATTTTAGTTGTCTGTTTGAACATTAAACAAGGTGCTTATTGGAAATAATGACGAAGCATCCTATTGTCCACTTGTAACTGTAAAGTCATTCTTAGTTTTTTTATTTTTCAGCTTAGGTTTTGTTTCATTCTTATCCTTTTGCCATCAAACTTTGTTTAATAAATTGGTTAACTGAGAGAAAATAATAAACACCATAAAAGAAAAACAATATTTTGGAGAATCTTTAGGCATGCTCTTCTTCTGTAGTTGATATAATTAATGTGGAGGAGCTCGCCATCTAGTGGCCGAGTATGGGTTTTACAGCATTTTTGGCGTAATGTGTAAATTAAAAAACAAACAAATTATACATATATACATTGAGGAAAAAAAGGTTGGTTTTTTTTTAAGTCCAGAGTAGTGTAGATCTATGTTCACTCAGACTGCTCTTCCCTGCAGTAAAATATGAATTGCTAACAATTTAAACTTTAGGATTCATGCTGCCATCTTGATCAGAACTTTCTTGAGGAATTGATTTATCTAAACTGGATCTTTCTGGTGAAATAAAGGTTAGGCAAAATAAAATAAAATAAAATGAAATAACCCATTTTAAATAATCCAAACTTTCCCAATAAACTTCTGTAAGGCATACAAGAAAATCATATAATGCTAACAATGCTGAGATGGCTGGCTAATCTAATAATTAGCTAATAGGCTATTGTCCTTTTTGTGTTTATACACAAATAGGACAATACTATGTATTATGTGTATTATGTATTATGAAATAATTTGGTTTAGTATTTGGTACATTTGGTGTTTGGTTAGCATGCAACAAGATTTACTTAGCTTACCTAAATTAACATCAGAGCCAGATAAGATAAGAGCTAATTAGCTTTCCCAAATTATTTTCAGGCACAGACAGGATGTTGGTTAAATAAAATCACAAAACTTTGAATGTACTGTCTCTTGAATGTGCCTCAACATCAAACATATGAGTAATAATTTTCATCAGCTGAGGACCAGTTTTACCGGTAGTTTGGTATCGGGTCAAGTTTAGTACTGTTAGCTTGATATAGCACAATCAAGATTATTAGCTAGCATTTTTTGTAAGTTTTTTTAAAGAAATTTCCAAAATGCTGAATGTTTTTCCTTTCTACTGTTGATGTTAGTTATCTAGTGTCAAATACATGTCAAAACTGTGAGCATAAAAATGTGTTTTATTTCTGAAAGCAGCCAGGTCATATTAAATTTAATCAGTTTCTCTCAGAGAGCTGGGAGTTGAAATCCCTCCACGTGTGTCGCAAGGTCAAAGTGGAATGAGTTAAAGGCTGTGACAGCTTTAGAGTTGGGATTCAAGGTAAGGTGATGATAAATGTTGGGGAAAGAGGTGGGAATATTAAGTAGCAGACGGCAGCCAGGAGAAGATGACGAAAGTACAAGTAAAGAGCGAGGAGAAAGACACTTGTAACGAGTGACGCTACATTGTTTTTACCTCTGCATGATGTAATCGTGTGCTTTTAATGTTATGCCACTGCACCGTGTCACAAAACAGGACCGTGCCTATTGCATTATTTTTACAAGGTGGATGTTTTGTGCTTGTTCCTTAAAACTAATTGGTCTTATTTTCAGTTTGATTTAATGCGTATACTTTTCATTAGCCAAGCTTTTCTCCCAAACATGTTCAACAAATGTGTTGTCAAACAACGCCTGATCGTAAAGTTTGTCTTCAAATTAATACAAGTGTCGCTGATATCATTAAACTCGTCTGAGACATATTAGATTGGATTACTCAGAATGGATACTGTTGGTTTTCCCTTGTTCTAAATGCAGCCTTGGGTTTCCACAATGAGCAAAATGTGCACGAGATCTGGCAGTCGTTTTATGCCAGAGGCTCTTCTTGGGCTCCAACATGCAGCCTCGGGTTTATGGGACCCTGGCGCTGACCGCAGATCTACCGCAGCCTCTAGCCCAGATTTCTTAAAGTAGACAACCCTTAATAAATATACTTCACTGTTGTAGGACTTGTTTTGGAAGAGACAAAATGTTAATTTTAAATTAAAAAAATTAAAAAAAATAATTTCAGTTGCTTAAACCTGTCCTTGGGGAAAAGTTCCAGTCAGAGTGTTTATACCATCTTGCAGTTTATTGTCCCCATGGAAATTTTTCATGAGAGGCTATTTTGAGCTAATTAAGCATCTATGAATTCCCCAATGACTTTGCAAGATTCGTGCATTTTAATGAACATCAGAATATTCAAGCATACAACTTGAAACTTCTGCTCTGTGCCATCAAGCTGATGCTAAATCAAGCCGTCTGGTTGTGCCGATCGTGTCTTTGATAACGCAGTCTGCAGTGTTGGTGTTGAATGCCACGCTTGGTGTCTGTTGAGCTCACGCCAGAGTATTTTTTTAAGCTTTTTGAAAGTGATTTATTATTGATGACTGAAACAGAAAACAGTTTTCCTCTCATGATATGCTTTGCTATGTCATTGTTCTTGCTGTTGACTGCATAAAGACTGTTCGTCTGTGTCTTGTATGGTATTGTAATGTTCTGATTATGTGTTGTGTAAAACCCCTAAATCTTTATTAAAGGTTGATTTTTAGAAAGAAATGTGGAGCCATTTACTTTTTATCTGAGAGGGTTTAAAAAGTATTTTAAAAATGTTGTTTGGAGAAAAGTGGAACTCATTAAACTTCTCTTTTCATCCAGGATGTACACAAATGACAACGAGGTTAAAGTGAAACAGTTGAACATGCATAAAGCAGGTTTAATTCCAGGGAACTGGTTCTACAGCGCTGATGAACTTTCACTGGCTTCTCAGTTTACGTTTTGTAAGAATTAAACTAAAGAAATGTGGTGTTGGACTCTCATGGGCAGCTGGTTCTGTAAAACAGCCCATGTGTATGTGCTCTGAGTAACAATGACACTGTAAGAGTCACTTTGAAAGGTTGCACCTGGGATGAAGAACAGCACCACCAAGCCTGAAGTCATGGTCCTCAACTGGAAAAGGATGATTTGCTTACTCGGTGTTGCCCCAAGTAGAAATATTAAAGTATATGGGGTTTTGTTCACAAATGAGGTTAGAAGAAGATTCAATTGAATTCAGTTTATTTATAAAGCTCCAAGTCACAGCAGAAGTCATCTCAGGGCACTGAACAGAAACGTTCATATATAAAATAAGTTAACAGAAATGTTCGTATTTAAAAATAATATTTTAACATTATCTGAGGAGCAGACTGCTTTTAATTTAACTCAATCACAGAACTTTCATCTTGAGCAAGCATGAAGGTGACAGTGGAAAGAAAAAGCTCCCTCATGAGGAAGAAACCTTTAGCAGAACCAGACTCAGGACAAGAGACCATCTGCTTCAACCAGCTGGGTTTGGTAGGAACAGATACACAATGGCAGGTCGAGAACCACATGTTAAGATAGAAATAGTATCAAATAAAAACTATTCAATTTTACAAGAGACTGAAATATGGAGGTATCTGGTTCAGGTTTGGTTTATTTGTCATATGCAGATCAACCCAAGGTCAACAATGCAATGAAATGCTTAGGACGAGAAGAACCGTCTTGACTAGCCAAAAAAAAAAAAAGGAGAGAAATACTAAAATCTTACTAAAAATACTACTAAAATACTAAAAACAAAGCGCCAAAGTTGAAAAAGAAATACACCTGCAACAGT